AGAAATCCCTCCAGATTTAAGTGTTAAAACTTTGGAATTTCAAAACCACATGGCCCTACTGCAGCCACGCGACATCATATGTTATTCATAACCAGCAATAGAATATAAATTGTCTATTGTTCCCTTTTCAGTAGATCTGAGTGTTGGGGTAAAATCTCAAATAATAATGGTGGGTCTGGTGTCGAAATATTGAATGTGATCAAAGTAGAGAGAGAGCAATGTGGAAATCATCTGCCCCACAGGTAGGAGGAGGGTGTGGGATGGGCGGATACTGGGGTTTTTGGTGGAGGAGAATGGGCACTGGTGAAGGTACGGATGTTTCATTGTATGACCGAGACTTAGCTCTCATGGTGATTCGATAAATAAAATTATAAAAAATGAAAAAAAAAAGTAAGGTGGAGTTCATGCACAATTCAATCAGCTGCTAATCAGTGGCTGAATAAATGGCAGTACTCCTACAAAAAAAAAAAAATGACATGCCACTGACCAAGCAAGTGGAAACAGAGATAAACACATGGGACTATCTTAAACTAAGAAGCTTCTGTACCTCAAAAGAAACAGTGACCAGAATACGAAGACAATCTACAAAATGAAAAGGATATTCACCCAATACTCATCTGATAAGGGGTTGATGTCAAGGATATACAAGGCACTGGTTGAACTCTACAAGAAGAGACCCCATCAGAAAATGGGGCGATGAAATGAACAGAAACTTTCTCAAAGAAGAAATCCAAATAGCCAAAAGGCACATGGAAAAATGCTCTTTAGCACTAATCATCAGGAAGGTGAAGATTGAAACAATGAGATAGCATCTCACACCATAGAGACTGGCCCATATCCAAAAGAACAAAAGCAACTGGTGTTGTGGGGAGAAAGGGACCCTCCTTCACTGCTGGTGGGAATGCCAACTGGTTCAGCCCTTTTGGAAAACAGTATGGACGTTTCTCAAAAAATTAGATATTGAGCTCCCATTTGACCCAGCAATACCACTTCTGGGAATATATCCCAGAGATGCAAAAACCTATAGTAGAAATGACATCGGTACTCGTATGTTCATTGCAGCACTGTTTACAATAGCCAGGATCTGGAAAAAAACAAAACAAAACAAAAACAGAGTGCCAGAGAACAGATGACTGGTTAAAGAAACTCTGGTACATCTATACAATGTAATATAATGCAGCTGTTAGAAAACATGAAGTCTGAAATTTGCATATAAGTGGATCAATATGAAGAGTATCATACTAAGTGAAATGAGTCAGAAAGAGGGACAGACATAGGACTACACTCATCTGTGGAACATAAAGTAAAAGAATGGAAAACTAACACCCAAGGATAGTAGAGATAAGGACCAGGAGGATTGCTCCATGGCTTGGCTTGAAAGCCAGCCTCAAAAGGCAGCTGGGATAGAGAAGGGACCACCAAGTAAAGGATGCTTGGGGGGCCTGCTCAGAATGAGAGATGCTGCTGAAAGTAGACTACAGACTGAACATAATGGACACTTAATAACTGCATTGCAAACCACAAACACCCCAAAGGAGAGAGAGAGTAAAAGGGAATATGCCTGTCACAGAGACTGGCAGGGGAGGGGGGGAGGGGAGGTGGTGGTAGGGTGGTAGGGATATTGGGAACATTGGTGGTGGAGAATGGGCATTGGTGGAGGGATGGGTACTCAATCATTGTATGACTGAAATGCAATCACGAAAGTTTGTTAAGTCTGTAACTGTATCTCACAGTGATTCACTAAAAAAATCACTGTCACTGTCCTCCCGTTGTTCATCAATTTTGTCGAGTGGGCCCAGTAATGTCTCCATTGTGACACTTGTTGTTACTGTGTTTGGCATATTGAATAGTCACGAGGAGCTTGCCAGGCTTTGCCATGTGGGTGAGATACTCTCGGTAGCTTGCCAGGCTCCCTGAGAGGGGCGGAGGAATCGAACCCAGCTAGGCCGGACCAGCTGTGCGCAAGGCAAATGCCCTATCGCTGTGCTATCGCTCCAGCCCACACTAAAAAATTTAAATTTAAAAAAAAATTTAAAAATTAAAATTTTTAACAAAATTAATGTTTTGCTCCAAATAAAACATGGAAGTAAAGATGTTACACAACTGAGGACCAAAGTGTTATGTTACTGTTAATCATGGCTTGTCTGTGGAGCTTTTGTTGTCATCAGCACTATTTATGGAACCACATTTTACAGTTCAAAACCTAGGTTTTTTTTTTTTGCCAAAATGTCTAATGATTTACTCATACACTTAAATGGTTCAGGTACTACTAGTCTAATACATTTTTTACAATCTGGTTTTTGGGCTGGGTCAATCGTACTGTGGGTACGGCACTTGCCTTGCACGCACACAGCAGACCTGGGTTCGATCTCCAGCACCCCATGTACAGCCACCCAGTCCACGAAGAGTGGTCCCTGAGTATAGCTGAGTGTGGCCCCAAAATAATACAAACCAATAAAGGACCAAAAATGTATGGTTTTCCACACTGTTTTCATAAATGAGAACAGAGCAGTATTGGAAGCAATGCATAAAATTATACCCCAAATGGAAAAAAAATGAAATTGCAGACTGTGAACGGCTCCATCTTCATAGCTATCTAGAATAGCAATGCAACTACCTTGCTTTTGCTTTTTCTTACACCACAGCAAACCCAGCTTTGCTGAGCCACATGCTCCTGCCCAGACATACCAATTTTCTCTGCTTCTGCCCAGACACCGCAACTAAAGATCAGTCTCCTGGGGAAAGGTAGAAGACACAACGGCAATACTCATTTCTTTCCTTTGGTGGGGGGGGGGGGTGAGGAGGGCACAACTGGCAGTGCTTAGGGTTACTCTTTGCTCTTTGGAGCCAAAACCCACCCTCTACCCCGCCCCCAAATAAAACAAATAAAACGAAGAATGGAATGCATTCACTTTCAACTCTGCTATAATAAGAAAGTCTAGAAATGAAATCTTTAAGTTTTCAGATAAGTAATAAAAATCAAAATCGACACTTTTTGGTTTGGGGGGCGACTCCCAGTGGTGCTCAGGAGGGCTTATTCCTGCCTCTTCACTCAGGGTTCATGCCAAGCAGGCTTGGGGGACCATATGCAGTGCCAGGGATTGAATATAGGTCTTAGGTCTTCAGCCTGCACGGCAAACTGTGCTTGCCTACTTGGCAGCACTATCTCTCCTGCCCCTCAATACATTTAAGTACCATTATTTTATTAGTTCTTTTCTCTCATTGCCTTGGTTCACTCTTTAAATTTAAATGTACTTAAATTTAAATGTTGGGGTTGAATACCCTAACACATAAAGAACACAAATCCCAAGTATACAGTCTGATGAAGCCTTACAACTCAATTGTATTCCTGTAATCTGCAAACGATCGTGAAAGATGACAAACTGTTAAAACGGTAAAATCAAAACCGTCAACAACCATCACACACACAAACACACACACACACACACACACACACACACACACACACACACACCTAGCGCAGTAAACAATGAGTAAATGTAACTAAAGTGGGAGGCACATATGCAAAACCGGAACATTTCCGGCACCCGCTGGTACAACATCTAGGTATTCTCCTGTATCGTCGGAGCAGGAATAAATAAATAAATAAATAAATAAATGGTTCTCGATCTGTTGGCTCCCGACTTGAGGAGGTTCCCCTTGCCATCGTCCTCTCTCCCTCCCTCTCTCCCGGCAGCCACAGTTCAAAACAAGCAGCACAAAAGAGCGTGAAACTTCAGAACCAAGGGGGTTGCTTAGCAACGCGCCCGGGCTTCCTTCCCGGGCCACACCCCGGGGATGCTCCTGTCATCCCCTCCGACCTGCCGGCAACTACAAGTCGGAAGCCTCAAAGCCCCCCGCGCTTTGCCCCCTCTCCCTTTTGACTGGCAAGTGCTACTCCCCTTCATCTGAAACACTGGCGTCGAGGGGCTCGCGGGTCGGGGGCGTCGCCCCGGGCAGGCCACTGGGACGAGCCCCCCTGCGGAGGGCAGGGCGAGCCCCTCGGAACCTCCGCGGCTATGCGCCGTCGAGGCAGGAAAGGCCCTTCCGCGGGCTCCCGCAGCCCCGAGCCCTCCCCTGGGCGTCCTGCTCCCGCGCCCGCGATCGGCGACCCCTCGGAGCCGCCGGGAACGTCCCCCGCGGGCGCCCCGCCCGGGCCCCTCCTCTCCCGGACTGGAAACTGCAGGTCGCGCCCCTCGGGCCCCGCCCGAAAGAGAAGCCGGCGAGCGGCGGGTGCCGCCTCCCGAGCGCCGCGCGCGCCGCGCATCCCGTCGCCAGGGCAACGCCGCCACCGGACCCCGCGGCCCGGCCGCCGCAGCGCAGCGCAGCGCAGCGCAGCGCAGCGCGCGGGGAGGACGCTCGGGAGAGGCGCGGCCGGCCGGGGTCCGAGGGCGGCGCGGCACCGTGTCCCTCCGCGCCCGGCCCGTGCCCGCGCGGACCCTCGGCGGAGCGATCGCACGCACGCGCCCGCCCGCGCGCCCCCGCCCCGCCCCCGCGGCCCCCGCGCCCCCGGCCCGGGGTGGCCGCGCCCGCGCCGCGCCGCCCGCCGCCGCCGCCGCCCCGCAGCGCCCGCCGCGCCGAGGCCACCCCGCGGGCCCGTCCGTCACGCCGGCCCGCGGGCCCCTCCGCCGCCGCCGCCGGCGCGGGGGGCGGTCGGGGCCTGCGCGGCGCCGCCTCCTCCCGCCCCCGCGCCGCCCCGCCCCCCGCGCCGCCGCCGCCGCCCGCTCGCGCCGCGCCTGTCGCTCGCCCGCCGCCGCCCGCCGCAGTGCGAAGCGCTCGAAGATGGCCGGGTGGCAGAGCTACGTGGACAACCTGATGTGCGACGGCTGCTGCCAGGAGGCCGCCATCGTCGGCTACTGCGACGCCAAATACGTGTGGGCCGCCACGGCCGGGGGCGTCTTCCAGAGCATCACGGTGAGCCGGCCGGCGGCCGACCGCGGGCGGCGGCGGGGCGGGGGCCGCGCCGGGCCGGGCCGGGGGCGCCTCGCCGACCCCCGCCCCGCGCGGCCCGCCCGGGCCCGCAGCGCCTGGCGCGGGCGGCGGGCGGGCGGCGGGCGGCGGGCCGGGTCCTGCCCGGGGTCGGGGCGGCTCGGCCGCGGTCCCGGCCCCGGGCGGGGGGGCTCCGTTTTCCTCTTTTTCCTTTTTCCGCAAAAAAGATCCTCCAAGATGGCGAACTGCCATCGATCCCTCCGCTGCGCCCCGGGAAGGCGCCGCGGCCCCCGTTACCCCCAATTACGCAACCCCGCGCCGAGGGCTCCCGGGGCGTCCGGCCGCGAGGCGGGGGTGTGCGCGCGCGCGCGTGTCCGTGTCTGTGTGGGGGGGGGTCGGGGGGACACGCCGCGGGCCCCCCACCGCCGCGCGCGGCCCGGCGCCCGGACCCGGCTGCGGGCCCACCTGGAGCCCGCGGGGGGGGGGCGCGGGGAGGGGGCGGCCCCGGGCCCGGGCCCCTCCGGAGCCGCCGCATTGTTCGCGCGGCGCTTCCCGCACAGCCGGGCCTCTGGCACGGTCGGCGCGGCCGGTGGGCAGCGCCGGACCGACGCCTCCGACCCCCACCTACCCGGTCCCGAAGCCCCCCCCCCGCGCCCCCCGCCCCCAGCAACGCCCGGAGTCGGGGCCTCCGCCGCGCGCGCCCCGGACTCCTCCCGCGACCCCGCGGTCCTCCCGGGCGCTCCCCGGCCACCCGCGCTCCCGCGCCGCGCCGGGCCGCTGGCCTTTGTGTGCAGTTCCCGCTGCCCGCCCGCCCGCCCGCCCGGGCAGATTGCGGGAGTGTGCAGCGAAGAGGCTGGGCCTGCTATGACTCTGCAGTTCTGATGGGGGCGACGCCTGCCCGCCCGCCCGCCCGCCTGCCTCGAGCAGGGGATGCGCCGACGCACGTTCCTCCCGCGGCGGGCGCCCACCGAGCCCAGCCCCCCGCCCCCGCCCCCGCCCCTCCGCCGCCCGGGCCCCTCGGCTGGCCAGGCTGCCGCAGTACCGCATCGCTCGGCCCGGGCGCGGGGCGCGGGGCGCGGTGGTGGGGGAGGCCAGGCGGGCGGGCCGAGAGCGGCAGCCTCGCACCAGCACCCGGAGAGAGGCGCCCGGGGGTGCCCCCCGGAGAGGCCCGGCTAGGGGGAGCCGCGTCCGCTCGACCTAGGGCGCCGGCAGGTACCTTGGAGCATCTCGACCTGACTCGGGACTGTTTATAAATAACCCTGACCCTTGCGGTTCGGGCGGCGGCGACTGTTCAGGGGGTGGTTTCCAGAGACTGTGTTTAGTGAGCTGACTGCCCTGGTCCCTGTGCCGACCCCCAGCCCGCCCCCCCCCCCCGTAGGACCAAGGGACGCTGTGGCCCAGACGGGCTGGCCTGAGTGAGCTGGGGGGTTCGGAAGCGGCCCTGCACACTTGGCACGCGAGGTCCCCGCCCTGGGCCCGAAGGCGATTAACCCGACTTCTTTGTGGTCTTGTCACCCACCCCACCCCCTTCCCTTTTCTTTTGGTGTCGAGCAGCCGGTAGAAATAGACATGATCGTAGGAAAAGACCGGGAAGGTTTCTTTACCAATGGTTTGACTCTTGGCGCCAAGAAGTGCTCGGTGATCAGAGACAGCCTGTACGTGGACGGAGACTGCACAATGGACATCCGGACAAAGAGTCAAGGTGGGGAGCCCACGTACAACGTGGCCGTCGGCAGAGCTGGCAGAGGTAAGCGGGGTGCAGCCGCGAGCACCTTCGGAAACAGCCCTTGAGCCGTTGGCGTGAAGTGTTGGTCCATAATGGCTATTAAGGTGGTTTTGGTGAACTGCCCAGCACTGAAGGGGAGGTCCCTGCTTTCCAGTCAGGAAACTCCACATCACTTTGAGCGAGAGGGTCCGTTTCGCCTGGTTTTCCAAATTAGTAGATTCAGACTCAAAACTTGCCTCTCTGCCTGCCTTGACATGCCCAGCGGCCCACCCGCCTTACGGTCCCTCGTCCAGATTATAAAATGGTCCGATTTGTTGAGTTACTTTAGTCCCCTGAAGTCTTTTGGCCTTTGGGTCTCTTTCATGCTGGAATTGCACTCATCTCTGTACAACAATAGGAAAATTAACACTGGATCATCTTCCTATTTAGAGGCATTGCCAGGGAAGAGAGAAATAATTACAATAAGGATTTTGGAGTCCGTTGTCAGTCGGTCTGTTTGCAAAAGGCATCAGTTTAGATTTTATTTACTTGGTTCAGAGTTTTTGCTGTTTCCTTGTTATCAACAGTGCAGAAATTTTCACTCTGCTGAAATCTTGCTTTTTCTAAGGAAACGTTCCAAACTCTGTTCATTAGTACATGTCATTGATTTTCAGATTTATTTGGACCACACCCGGTGGTGCTCAGGGATCACTCCTGGCGGGGCTCTGGGTGCCATATAGGGTGCCCTGGATTAAACTGGGCTTGGCAGCAAGCACCCTACCCTTTATACTATCATTCTGGCCCCAGTTTTCAGATTTGAATCATGTTAGCCTATGTAAATATCAGAGGATATCATTACCTCATTTAGCAGACTCGGCAGTCAGCTTGAGAGCGGATCTAGCAAGTTAAAGAAACCAAAGCTGCTTTGATTGTAACTTCTGGCTGTGGCCCTACCAGACTGCTGGTAACTGTCCTAGAGGTCACTCTCAGGGCGTGGGAGGGGACTTTCTCTTGGAAAATTGGTAGCCTGTAAAAAATAGTACAGAGGGGTCTCAGGGTAGCTGAGTGCAGATGATTATGGTAAAAAGCATCAACTCTGTGGCATCAAGCTCGAATGAGCTCTTCGTTCCTGCTGCAGTGCTGACATCTAGCGGCACCCACTAGAAATTCGCCAGCCATAGGTGGACCTTTGAAATGCCCCACTGAAGAAACCGTAAATCTCTTTTAAGTCAGATTTTAAATTCAAAAGCAAACCTAGTACAGTGAGTGTATCAGTAAACACACATCTTACGGAAGCGTGTCCATCTCCGAATGACACTGAAAGTGCCATTTAAAATCTGGTACTGATTTTCTTCTGGAAGGAATCAAATGTTTCACAACTCAGATTGCTGAGACAGTGGTTTGTACCTGATCGAGCATATTAAATTTGGGGAAAATTATAAATACCAAACGTTATAAAGTCTAAATATTGGGGACAAGTCTGAGTATATTATACTACCGGAAGTATATTCGCTCTAGAAAAGAAGCTAAATGATTTCCAAACCCGTCTACTCCCCCCTCCCCCTTGGTGTGGAGATAGTTTACAGGATAGACCGCTGAAGTGCGTTCACTGAATCTCTGTGATTCAGTGACAAAAGTTTTTAGCACGTTACTGCCTTGAAAATTGTCTTTGGAGATTGGGTTGACGTCAGTGCTCGACAGTTCACAGAAAACTAACTTAATGTTAACTTATTAATCGGGGTCTGCCTGCTAAAACTTATGTGACTTTCTTGATTAACCCTTCTTTTGAAACACTTTTCTTCTTTCTCTTTCAGTCTTGGTCTTTGTAATGGGAAAAGAAGGGGTCCATGGAGGCGGATTGAATAAGAAGGCATACTCAATGGCAAAATACTTGAGAGACTCTGGGTTCTAGCTGCTAGGCAGACTGTTAAGTATTAGGGGAAAACAATTGCTCTTAAACTTTCCTAGCTGTAAGCTTGAGTCTTAATTCTGGAAATTTTATTAGCAATGCAGGGTGATGGGGTATGAACCTGTGTCTCCTTTGTATCCCTCTGTTGGTGGGGAAAGGTGTCTTTCTTTCTGCCCCCTCCCCCTTTAAGTAATTCTGTTCGCTTTTGTTTTGTTTCCCTGTGTACTCCAGCATTGGTTATAGTCATGGGAAAGGAAGGTGTCCACGGAGGCACACTTAACAAGAAAGCGTATGAACTCGCTTTATACCTGAGGAGGTCTGACGTGTGAGCAGCCTCTCCCCAGCTACCTAGCAACTGTCTTCATCACCGCCCCAGTTCTGGTCACAGTGCTACCAGACCTAGATGGTAGTTCATCTTTCTTTACCTGTTTTCTAATGTCACCGCTCTGTGCGCCCAGTGGATCATTTGTATGTTAATCACTGTCTGTAACCAACCTTTATCTGGCAACGTAATTGCAGCACAATAATGATTTGCATGATACCTTGAAATTTGGGGGGAGGGAGCATGCCAAGTTGGGCATCACTTTGTCTTAGCAATTAATGGGATATTGAGTACTAAAATAAGTTCATCTTCAGCAAGGTGCCGGTTGTACAATCTGAGTTGATCCGTGTCTTTTCAGCACTTTGAGCATTCCTTAGCTCCCGTAGTCTTCCTTTGGCAGCGCATGGGTGGGAGGACACAGTGCATGCCTCTTTCCTTCCCTCCCTCCTCTCCCGCCCTCCCTCGGCACAGAAGGAAGGGGTTCTGTTGGCTTCCGTCCTCTTCATGCAGTGCCTGTTTATTTAACTGATGCGCTTCCCTTGCGTTGAGCTATTGAGAAGGGCGGTAGTTCGCTGCTGGGATTGTCGTTGCACTGGCAGCCTTGCCCCGGGGCCCCAGGTGCAACGGCAAAACAAGGCAAAAGGCACTTCCTCCCCCGACCGTAGAAGCCCAGGGGCCATTCCATCGTCGCCTAGCTGACTCTTGGTTCCTGTCCTTTCCTTTGCACACCAGCTCTGTTCTCTAGTCCATTTGTCCAAGGCTGCCATTATGGACATTAGGTATCCCAACATAACCATCTGGAGTGTGTCCAGTTTGTTCTTCATAGGACCAATTTTATTTGCAGCTTGAGTTTTTATATGAAGTTGCATTATTGTGGACTTGGCTGTCTTGTGACATTTTCTCCATATGTATTCGGTGCCATACTATTGTTGAAATGAACTGTTGATATTGTGAGATGGATTTTAACTGACCTGTTCAAGGTTTCTGTCAAATGGCACTACTTTAGGGACATTCTAGTATTTGCTTCTATTGTTTGGGCCTTGTGGATAATGTACAGATTTAAAAACAAATCTTGTTGCTGATTTGTCCATTCTTTCCCTGCACTTTGTTACATCTGGGATACAGTCTAACTCATCTGATTTAATATGCATTTAAAAAAATGCCATAACTATTAAACACCTTGTTTACAGACAGATGAAATAAATTTATTCCAACCAAATATTCTAGACTCCTGTTGTTTATGTGAATGATTGGCTTACACTTGTGTGGGTTTTTTTTTTTTTGGGCATAGGCCAAAGTCCACTACCACATTTGACATTATCCTGGGTGTCTTAGGATTAGCTGACGGCCTGCTCCATTCCATAGAGTGTAGATATTGTCAGGAAAGTGAGGGCCTGGGGATTTCCTCTTAATGGGTGTTGCTGTACTGAAAGTGGCTGTTAGTCATGTCAGACTCATTTTCAGGCTTTCTGGGAAGAACATGGATTTGTCCAGCATAAATTAGTGCCCGCGTTGCTGGTCTGCAGAGGGGAAGTGTGGCTGCCGGAAGGGCTTCTGCGGGTGCATCTTCTTGGTGGAACTGTGTTCCCTCCCTACTGGGAGGCTGTGTGGCCACCAGCCAACGGGAAGGCTCTGGTGATGATGGGCGTGTTGAAAGGTTTTGCTTTGCAGTGACATACTCACTGTGGTCACATCATGTTGGGTCAGACTTAGGGCCCAGAATGTGGCTCAGCATGTCTGAGGCCCTGGGTTCGATGCCCGGCATAGGCATCGATTGATTTTAATCCCAGAGGCCATATAGCTCATGAACTGAAACTCAAGTGTGCAGTCGTAGGTGGATGGAGCTGAGTGAATCATACAGGATGGATGGATGGCAACGCTTAGCGCTGGATTGCTGGATTTCCTCCCCCCCCCCCCCCCCCCCCCCCCGCCATGGCCGGCTCCAGAAGCCCAGAAGTCTCTTTAGGAATGGGGGCTGGGTTCGTCAGAATTGTTTCAGAGGGCTTTTTAAAGGTGACCTTTTTGAGACACCACTTTAGGATAGTGATACTCAGCTGGTTTAGTAAGAAATCTCTGCCTTACTCTAGAATACACTGTGCATAATGATTTTTTTCTCTGCAAATGGCATTAATACTGAAATCTGTTCATCCTAGATGTAAAAAAAAAAAATTGGTAGATAAGGTATGCCCCACTACTTTGGCACTTTGCCCAAAGTATTTCTAAATGATTAAAGCTGACTTTGTTAAGTTGGGCGTCACTTTGTCTTAGCAATTGATGAAATAGAGTAAGAAAGGTACGGGTCATAAAATCTAAATTTGATTGTCTTACCCAGAGTTGCTTTAGGATGCATGAAATTACATATACATCGTGTTGCCGTCTAAGATAAGCTCTAGGAATGTAACGTAAGGAAATGGAGCTGTAGAATTCTATATGCCAGAAAGCCTATCTCATGGCATTACTTTGTACTAAGCTTGGAAAACTACAAGATTTAACTTTCGTGGTTAGGGGTTGAATGATTCTGTGGCTGAGTATTGGCATGAGAAAATGCTCATTGGTAAAAACTCGGAGAATATAGACATTATGTAGTGTGTAATATGTGTGTATTTGTGAAGGCAGCAGAAGATAAGTCTATCTTTAGAGTAAGTTTGCGGTAACTACTTTCCTAATCAGAAAATTAAAAAAAAAAAAAACACTTCAGGCAAATCAGTAACAATCCTAGTTCATGTAGTATATAAAGTCACTTTGTGTTTTTTTCTTTAAACAACTAATAGTTGGGCATTTCCAAAAAAAGCCTCTGTTTCAGATCAATTCCTTAAAAGAACCAAGTCCTTTGGAAACATATTGGCGGTGGGGAGGCGCAGTGGTGGTGGATCAATGTTGGAATATTGAATGTCTGTAACCAAACTGATGACTTAATAAAGTTATTAAAAAAGAATCAAGTCTTGATCTGAGTTATGGATTAGCACGGAGAGATTATGACATAGATGCCTTGGTGACTTTTCCCATTTAAATATCACTTAAAAATTTAGTATGAAAGCTGTTATTTGTGCATTTGTTACATGTATACACATGTGTATACTACACACACACACACATACACACACCAAGCACTGAGCTCAGTGTTTTGTCTTCATATTCTACCTACTTGTTAAATGAAATTACACAAATCACTAAACACACTTGGAAACAGTGGGGCCAGATGAGGATGTTCGATTTCCAAAGTGCTGCTTAATTACCATAGTAAATATTGTTTCATAGGCTCGTGTTTTATTTTCATAAAGGACAGGATGGGGTGAGATGTCATTACTGTAGTACATATTAAATAAAGCCTTTTGCTTTTCAAAGTGGAAATACTATTTTTTAAATAAGTACTTTTCTAACACTGCAGTTTAGAAAGTGGAATTTCCCCTACTAGTATCACAAAAGGTTTCACAAAAGGTTTCACAAAAGGGCTGGAGCGATTGCACAGCGGGTAGGGCGTTTGCCTTGCTGACCCAGGTTCAAATCTTCCCCCTCGTCCCCCTCAGAGAGCCCAGCAAGCTACTGAGAGTATCCCGCCCTCAGGGCAGAGCCTGGCAAGCTCCCCTTGACCTATTAGATATGCCAAAAATGGTAACAAGTCTCACAATGGAAATGTTACTGGTGCCTGCTTGAGCAAGTAGATGAACAATGGGAGGACAGTGCTACAGTACCACCAAAAAAAGTGATTTTTCTCTTTTTTCATTAGAAGGCTCATCTTAGTGCATGTACCCTCTAAAATGCTTTTGTTCCCGTCTAATTTACCGTTATCAGTACAGAAACTGAGTTCATCTTTTGGGGGCTCTAGGTAGCAGCTGACACTCTTAAGGACATGCTATCGCGCAAGGGTCCAAGTGTATACTGCTGGTCAGGAGTACATGGCCATCTTTCAGGGTCACCTGCCGGCGAGCCCGCCTCACATTCTAAGGTGATAACTGACTTTGATCTGTAAGCAGTGTGTGTACAGAGAAAGCTAAAACAGAACAAATCTGTTGCGAGTTCTTAAAGTGGAAAATGTGTTTATTAACGTTCAAACTCCCTTCTTCGAGGCCATATAAAAATTCTTAGCATTTTGATTATACACATGTATATTTTCTACATAGTTACAATGATGTATAATATAATTTAGCTTTTCATAATAACATTATTTAAATACATTAATTCTGTTAAACATAGCACTTATTTTGAAATCCAATGCTTGAACAGTTTTCTCTGTACATATTTTAGCTGGACTAATTGTAGCATAAGATGCTCTTTATTAAGAGGTATATGATCAGAGTAGTAACAATTGCTGAAGTTTGGTATTTTAATACAGCATTTCTTTTCGCTTTGATCACAACACAAAACCCTTAATACTGAAATTCATTAATTCTAGAGACATTAACTGATGAATCAAATTCATATATAACACTAGAGTATTAAAAACATAAAAAAAGAAAAGCCCAAACCTTGAAATGTGCACGAGCACAGATCATTTCTATGAGAAGAAAGACTACTTGGAGACAGAAAGGAAGAAGGCAGCTCTGAGTTTGTGGCTTGACAGGAGGGAAAGTGACTTCACCTAGCTGCTCGGATCTCGTGGCCTGGGAAAAGAGCAGAACCAACACGGTCCACCTGAGTATGCCCGAATCCAGGGCACCACAGTGGCCACAGCACCCAGCTGCTGAGTCAGGAACTGTTTGCATCCTGCGCTCGGCCTGAACCGCACTCTGTTCTGAGGATGTGCTTTCCTTCTCCGGGAGGGGCTGCTGCTTGAGTTCCAGCCCCCGCCCGTTCGTCGCCAGTGAAACGATCCACTCCGGCAGAGAAACATCAGATCCAAAATGCACTTCAGTAATCTGATTAAACTGCAGAACACTAACGAGTTACTTCTACCGAAATCTCTGAAGGGAGCCAAAAAAACCCAAGAAAAGAAAAAAAGAAAAAAAAAAGTACCTAAAGAAACCCTTGGGAGGGAGCCGGCCGGGAGCGTCACACGGTGTTGGCGACGCTGTAGTCGTGGTCGCCGTTGGGCTGCAGCTGCACCACGACGCTGCGCTCGTTGGCCTCGTTCTCGGCCTCGCTGCTGTCGCTGTCTTCGTTGTCCTCGTCCTCGTAGTCGGAGGACTCCGTCATGTTGTGATGCGAGTGGGACTCGGACAGAGCCCCGAAGGACTGGGTGCTGGCAGACGCCATGGGCCTGAGCAGCGGGGTGTGTTCTGACACCTCGTTTTCTTCCTGACTGCTGTCCGTGTCCGAGTCGGAGTCGCCCTGGGAGGGGACCACCTTCTGCTTGCACACGGGGCAGGTCTTTTTAGTTTTAGTTAGCCACGGGTCCACGCACTTACAGTGATACGCTGTGAAGCGAGACACGTGGCAGTTAATGACGCAGCCTTTGCCCCTGCCGCTTCACTACACTCGGGTCCATACGGGCGGGGGGCGGGGGGGCGCCAAGGAAAACGATACATCCACTTCCCCCCGTTAACGAGACGCTGACTGGCACCGGGCCTTTCTTAGGGTGTGCTAATAACTGTTTTCCCCCTCCCCCTGGAGTCCTGAGACCCCGGTATAGATTGTTCTAGATGTCAGTACAAAGCGCCGTGTACTTATCCGTACCATGGGAACAGGGGAGGACTCTCAGCTTGTCTCCGTCTTCGTATTCATCCAGACAAATGGCACACACATCGTACTCGTCCCCTGGGACAAAACAGTCAATCCAATGAATGATGGCGGACACAGGCGTTCAAAGATTTTAAAGCTAGGTTTTACTCTTTTAAAAAAGACGCCTTTTAAATTGATCTGCAAACACTTTGTTTTCTGTCAGATCAGAGAGCTATCTCAACTTTAGAAACCTGAAATTCACCTTTCAACTGAAATAAAAGCAGAGGCAAATGTGTTTACCTTGATTGCCTTTGCTGAAGATTTTTTAAGAAGAGTAATTCCATTCATTTTTATGTAATTTCCGTAACAGTTTTGAAAATTTTATGTAGATGAAATTTCACCGGATTTCTTTAAGTCTGGTCCTGGAAATAAACTCCAGGGCTGGAGAGTGTACCGCAGGCAGAACGCCTGCATTGTACACAGCAGGCCCGTGTTCGATCCCCAACACACCATGTGGTCCCCTCAGCCCTGCCAGGAGTGATCCCTGAGCACAGAGTCAGAGAAAGCCCCAAGTACAGCTGGGTGTGCGCCCAAAGCAACAAAAAACAAAAATTGACGGTTGTTTGTGTTCACATACACACACAGACATGGATGAAAACATTGGGACGAGGGGCCAGGAGGCTGTCTCAGGGCTGGAGCTCAGCGCCACACGCAGGAGCCCTGGGTTGACCCTGGCCTCGTAAGGCTCCGCACACACTGCTGTTGTACCCCCCCCAAAAAAACAAGACATTTGGGGGGGTGCAATGCTGAGCCTGACTCAGTATGAGCTTTGCCAGTTGTGTGCAGCGTGGCACGCCCGGCTTTGCCATCTCCTGGTCGGGACTGGGAGATGAGACCGAGCCCGGGGCCCAGCACACAGGTGCACCCTGAGTGCTTCTTCGAGCGGCACTGCACTGCCCCTGCATTTCTCGGCTGGACTAACCCCCTCCAGTCACGGGGCAGCAGGGGGTTAACAGCCCACTGGTGGCTCAAACTTGGATGGGGCTTAACACATTGCAGCACTGGCGTCAACTGGCAGGTTTTTAGATCAGGTGAAAGCGGCTTAGGACAGCACCGTGACAACTTTCAACACAGCGCTCACATCACACGTCAGGCCAAACACGGTCAATGCCTCTGCGGAGTGGGCAGGCGGGTGGCTGGACATGTGGGATGGGACCATCGCTGCAGCCAAACAATCCCTTTCCTGTGCTGCAGGTTTCAAACACGCAGGAGGGGCCCTAGTGGGAGCCCTAATGAAAAGGACTCATTTTTGTTCTGCTGAATTTCATTAAAATGCCACCCTCTATTGGGTCGGTTTGATAGCAAACACGAGGTTCTGTGTGAGGACCTCGTGTGTGGAATTTGCTGAAACTAATTATATGCATCTCAAACTATTAAAAGTGTTCAAGACTAATAGATCTATAATTATTCATAATTACACAGCTGCTTCATTTACATGGACTTTGAAGATAGTTTTAATATACTAAGCAATTTGGTCCTGATTGATTTCTCAGACACCTCAAACTCCCATTTTCCCCCCTCCTGAAAAGGTCCGTTAAAAGCAGACGGTGCCAGAGGTGAGCAGGAACAGGCCTGGGCGGGCTCTTGGCCTCGTCTCCAGAGGAAGCCAAGTCTGGCTCCTCCCATCCATGGGAGCTAAGCAGCCGGCAGGGCCAGCCCAGGACAAGGGGGAGGCGGAGGAAAGCGTGGCTGTGTGGTCGGGGAGATGCGCACGAGTCAAGACTAGAGGCCAGGAACGTCGTCTCCCTTCGACACCCCAGAGAAGAACGCAGCCCGACCAACCCCCGACTCCGCGCACGCACGAGGCCCCTCAGATTTCTAACCCGCAGAAAGGTTCAGGTGAATGTGTCATTTTAAGCCAAGTGTACGACCAGGTGTTAGCCACAGGCCACGAAGAGCCCCCAGTACCGGGACTGAGCTTTGCAGTCTGTCTTAAGAGAAACGGCAAAGTTCCTGCATATGGCAGGCTCCTGCTTTCTGAAGACAAGGTGTGAAGTGGTGGCAGCCCAGCCTGGAGCCTGGCGGTCACGGGAGACAGCAAAGCACGCGTCAGGATGGTGGCACCGTTTCCCTCAGCCTCGCTGCCTTCTCGGGGCACGTCACCCAGCCCGTTTCCTCAGAGTGCTGTGAGGAAGGGAGAACCGCGGAGGGGACACCGTGGCACCCCGAGCCTCCGCGACCACCGCCACCTGAGCAAAGCAGCCCCTCGACCTGCGCCGTGGCGCTGGGAGCCGGCCGCTCGCGGAGTCAGCAACGGTCACTGAGCTGGTTTGTTGTACACACGGTGATTAGGTGATCCAATGAAATATTCAGCAGCCCTTGATCCGGAGGTGTGGACGGCTGCTCGGCTGCTCGATGAAAGCGAGGCCGATCAGATGAGAAAACCCTTCGTGAAAAGCGGGATCCAGTGAGGGCGAAGGGCAAAGCCAGGGAGCAGGACAAAGCAGGCAGGAAGCTTCGAGTCGGCTGGTGGACGTCTGAGCCGGAGGCCAAATGGCAAGAGACCTGCGCCACCTCCCGAGACCATGGCCCCAACGCCAAGCGAGGAGTGGATCTTGATTCTCAAATTCAAGTCATTTAAAATGATATGGGGGGGGGGGGGGGTGTGAGGGCCCCCATAGGTCTGCCTAGGCTTCTGGGCTTGCTGCGACTGTGTCACCCAGAGGTCCTGGGCCGGGCAAGTGGGCCCCAGGCTCAGCCTCAGGGCCAAATGCTCCAGCCTCAGCCTCTCTAGTCCCCAATAATCATTGTTTTATAATTGGGACCAAAAAAAAAATTTTTTTTTTCAAAACCCAGAGTATTCCCTGGTTTGTGAGCAGAAGGGGGCTCGTAAACGCTGATGAAGTGCAGTTGAACCTGTACAGAGGTTCTGAGTGAAGGAGAGGAACGGGCCCGACGCAGCCCTGCTGCATTCACCACCGAGCTCCAGCAAGGCATGAGACATGCAGAACTGGGCCCTGCCCTCCACTCGCTCCAGTGCCTGGACTTCAGCGCGGGCCTCTCATCTCTCTTCCGCTCCCGCCCATGGAGTCTGTCTCTCTAAGAACTGGGTGATTTAAAAATCAAAATCAAAAACAAAAACAAACAAAAAAACCATGAATCAGGCTGGAGAGAGAGTGCAGGAGTGAAGGCAGGCAGCTCACCTGGGATTGCCTCACTGAGACTCGAACCCTAGCTCACCGCTGGAGTCTGGCCAGAGCCACTCCTGTCCTCCATTCCTGCTCCCCTAACCTGCTGGGCGCCCCACGGTCTCCATATGAAATGCGGGAGGAGGGGGAATTAGGGAGCTGAGTGCAGCCAGGTAAAACACTGGACAGAGAACGAGGTACAAAACAGGGGCTGTGGGCAGGAGAGCGTTCAAGGGTCAGGGAAATTCAAAGCAAAACTTGGCTGCAGAAAAGCACCTGCTGTCATGGCCCACTCGGCAGTAACAAGGACTGCTCTTTCTAGGAAGCAGAATCCGAACATTAGCTTGTCAGTGTCCCTCCCTCTATACCATTTCCCAAGACAACCGATGACGGGGGAAAATTCTGGGTTTTGTTGGGGAACGGGAAGGGGCGCTGGGCCACAGCCAGCAGTGCTCAGGCACCCCTCCTGGCTGGGTGCTCGGGGTCACTCCGAGGCAGGGCTCAGGGGACTGCATGTAGTGCTGGGAATCGAGCCAGGCCCGCCACTCGCTCTCTGGCCATGATCAAGTCTTTTTACGCCCACCTCTGCGTGGCAGTGCTTTCTGGTCATTTCTGAGTTCTGAGTTGAAAGAACTAAGACTTTTAAGGTTGGATCAAAGGCAAAGGATTTGTAAAACTTAAGCATGTCTTAATTAAAGAATAAGTTATAAGAAATTAAGTACTCCATTTTTACAAACTTGGCTATAAAATGCCAGATTGCAGTTTTCCAATCTGGAATAAAAGCTTTTTTTTCCTATGTAGATTATCTTGCAACAGTAACAGTGTGTAGGCTGTAAAAGCCTGAGGACTAGAAAGGAACGCTCTGGGAGGTTAGATGCCCGCCTTGCATGTGGCCAGAACACCCCTCTGACCTCCCCACCCCAAAAAACTTAACAGCCCCAGGGGGCTGGAGATGCAGCTCAGTGGGGAAGCATGCGGCTTGCCTGCGAGACGCCCCGGACTCAATAACGTATTTGCCCAACTGCAACCCCCGTTTTTTGGGATCCGGTGGATCTTAGAGGTCTGGCTCCTTCCTGCGCCATGGGCCCCACAGAGCACCTGCAAGCTTAGATGTAGGACTAAGTGGAAACAGGCTTTTCGTTTGCTGCGAGACACTGTGCTGTTGGCGCTTCCGTTCCAGACGGGAAAGAGACGTTAGCTGAACGTCCCGGAGCGTCCGGAAAGCCGGGCACACTGGCACACTGGCAGGGCACGAGTGCAGAGGAAGCATGGGGTCCACTCACGGCTTCAGAGGCAAGAAACCCACTCAGAGGCCAGCACTGTTCCCTTCGGCAGGAAAGGCCACGCCAGGACCGAAGCTGGTTCACGTGGCTGGGTGTAGAGTGAGAGGCCGTGGCGGGTCCCCAGAGGAGGGGACACGTGCTGAGTAACCCCAACCCACCCACCCCGTGCCGTGCATGCCCAGGGCTTCATGGCCCACCTTGGCAGGAGCAGCCACTGCAGGGTGCTTTCTGGTGAGCTACCAGGATTCGAAGGGCCACAGCCCCTCAAATTCCCATCCACACTCAGCTGCCCCAGCCCACCCCACAGGTATGGAAACGCTTTCCCCCGCAATGCCCATCACCTCAGAGCAGCACCAGAAACTCAGAAAATGCAGCAAGCGGGACTCTCGTATCTGTGCACTGCCCGATCGGGGGGTGAGGCCACTCCGGGCACGACCAGTGGGCTGCTTTGGCTCTTTGATGCCAACCCCGATGATGACCAACACATTCTTAGGCAGACCTACGGTGCCTGAAGCTGTTCCATGGGCTCGATTTATAGACACTTCCATGTGGCTTCACGAGTCCACTGCTGGCGACCTAAGATTGGTGCTTAATGGCTGCATCTGATGTAGTCAGTGCTCACTAGCCACATTTCAGGTGCCACCGATATTAACGATTTTTCAATTTGTTCAGCTAAGTCATAACTGCTCCCGCTTACTGTGGCCTTGTTCTTGGCACTGGCTGAAACAGTCTTCACGTGCTGGTGGGAACTTTCCCACCGGCCTGTGAGGACCCCCTTCCTGTCCCACTCAGGCACGAGGGAGTGAGTGGGGAGGCGCTTGCACTGTGGAGGGCCTTGAGGGCTACTTGGGGTGGTTCGGAGGTGTGGGGAGGAAAGGCACAGGAATGAGCCCGAGACCTCTGGGCTGGAGAGATCGTGCATAGGGTAAGGCCTTGCACCCAGCTCACTCCGGGTTCCCCTGGACCGATCCTGAGCACAGAGCCAGGGGAAAATAAAATTAGTCCTTCCCTGAAGAGATCCTGATGGTCTCATTGTTTGACACAGAGCAAAGCTCTCGGTGCACTGGTCACACCACACTCTGAGGAGAGAAGAGCTGTCCATGCCCCCTCCACAGAAGGGTGTGCTCACATGTGGGGACACACTGACGGGGTGCTAAAAGACTAGCTGTGGGCTTCGCCCATGCACTGTGGAACGCAGGGTACAGACGGAGGAAAACTCTGGGGAAAAGAAGTTTGTGCTCCACTGACTGACATTCAGAGCTGCGGGCACAGGACGGAAAAGCCTGTTGAATTCTCTGCAGCCCGAGAGCCCCCAGACCTCCTTCCCGTCACCTCCTGGTCCCATATCAACAGTGACACACACACCGCGTGTCCCACAGAATTCTACATAAATTATGGGTGATAGGGAGAAAGGAGAAATAGTCACCTTTCTTGAATTTATGTATCGGAAGTTTCTTGAGTTGATCTTTACGTAATCTGTTTCTTCTAGCTCTGTGTCTGTCCTGGACAAACTTTGTGATCTAATAAAAAAACAAAAAGAAGAATCGGGTATTAAACACATATACAAAATGGCCACTAAAATGATAAATGCTTTAGAAGGTTTTGCAGAGCAGCCATAAATCAGTTCAATTATCTGAAGCCTAAATGCAAGAGTGTTCGTTAAAGCGTTAAATTACATTGGTGATTAGTTATCCTGTAAGTGATCTTTGGAATTTTTATTCATTGACCTAAATTATCTTCAATTTCCTCTCCCGGGAACATTATAAATAATACATAACTGTCGGCAAAAAACACAAATAGAAGATCAGAGATGTGAGACCAGGGGGTCAAAAGCAGAGGGCCAGAGTTCCCGCAGACAACGTCAAAATCGAAAACAGGCGCGAGGGGTAGGTGGGGGTACTTGGGAGCCCCGGCAGTGAACAGAACTGATAGAGAACATCTGTCCGACCAAAGTGCGTCAGTGTGAGATAAGATCTACAGAACATTTTTACTATAATCTACAATACTTGCAAGAACGAAAAGGATGTACACAGGGTCAGGGCAAAATGATAAATAAGGCAATATTAATTTTTTTTTAATTGACGACTTCAAAGTTAAGGACTTGAGTCCGCAAAAGACATAAAAAAGATAAGGCACAGGGTGGGAGGGCATATTTGCTGGGAAGGGATCTGTACCCAGAATTTATAAAGAACTCAAAACGGGGTAAGAAGAAACCAAGCAAGCCCACAGAGACAAAATGGGCGAGAAGTCTGAATAAATACTTCACAAGACATTCAGGTAGAGATGTTAACATCCTTGGTCAATAGAAAACTCAAACCGCAAATGCTACCATAGCCCCACTAGGAAGGCGAAAAGTGTAACTGCTGGTAGCCATCATTTTCGCCTCGCAGGCTGACATCCTACTGGTCAGAGGGAAAATGGTGGTTTCTTAAATTTTAAACATTTCCCATTCAGCCAATACATTCCACTCCTGCTATCTCTTCTCAACAACTGGTGACATAATGTCAGTTAGGTTTTATGGGTACTAACCCCCTGAAGAAAAACAGCTAAATGTCCAACAGGTAAGTGGATAAACAAAACTAGCATAATCATATAGTGGAATATAAGTTGGCAATGAAAAAGAATGAATCGTCTTCCCCATGATGTATGAATCAGTTATTCTGAGAAAAGAAGACAGACACATCCGACACCCTTATGCTTCCATTTACAAACTGCAGACAATTCAGACTAATCTGTGCTGCCCCAGAGCTAACCTGTAAGAGCCTGGGGAGAGAGTGGAGGGAGGGGTCCATGGGACCTCACTCACCAAGGAGCATGACCCGGCCTCGGGGCTGGCCACTCTCTTTCTCCTGACTGGGGGTGACGGCAGTTCCACTAGACACATGTATGTCTGCATGGATCAAAGTATACAATTTAATAATTAAATCAGGTATGGTTTCCTGCGTATTATTAATACCTCAACAGTTTTTTCTTAAAGACTGACCACTAGAAGAGAATAATATAGAAGGTTTCAAACTAATTGAACAAAGGAAGAAAAAGTATAAAACAGAACCCTAAACCCACACAGAATGAGCCAAAAAGCTGGCTCAAACAGCTCAACGTCCAGGGCCGGAATGAGAGCATAGCGGCGTGGGCATTTGCCTTGCATGCAGCTGACCCGGGTTCAATCCCAGCATCCCATATGGTTCCCTGCGCACCACCAGGAGTGATTCCTGAGTGCATGAGCCAGGAGTAAGTCTTGAACATCATCGGGTGTGACCCAAAAAGAAAAAGAGAAAAAAAAATCAACAAATGATTTGCTTGCAGGCCTGGGTACCATGGTCCCCAAGTACTCCCCCTGGGTAAGCACCAGAATCAACCAAAAAATAGTGTAAAAGAACAACAACAACAAAGAGGCAATATAAAAGTCAAACAATAGAAATGAGTTCAAATTTATGTCTCACAGCAACAACATAAATGGGTTACGTTTGCCAGCTTTTAAAAGGTGTATCTAATACTGAATGAAAATCTCAATAATATGCTAATTACATATTAAAAACCAGAACTAAAACAATGATATATTAAGGAAAGCAAGAGGGGCTGAAGAAAGCGCACAGGAGGGGTTATGGCACCTGCCCCGCCCACAAACAACCCCCATCTGTTCTCCGGCACCACATATGGTCTCCTGGGCACCTCTCTAGGAATGACCCCTGAGCCATACTGGGTGTGGCCCCCAAACCCAAACCATGCTCTCCCTCCAAAGTAAAATGAGGTTAAAAAAATAAAATCACGGTCTCTCAGCATCCAAAGCCTGGGCCGGAGAGACAGCACAGAGCAAGGTGCCTGCCCGGCATGCAGCTGAGTCCAGTCTGATCTGCACCATGGATGGTCCCCTGAGCACAGAGCCAGGAGAACTCTCTCTCCAGCCCCTCTTCAGATATTTAGGATCCGGATTTATTTTTGTTTTTGTCCAAACCTGTTCTAGAAATGGACTCATTTCATATGTGCTCTTAGGAAAGATTTCTCTCACTCAATAAGTGAGATATTAAAGGTAAGCAATACAATAGAAGTGAGTTCAAATTTATGTCTCACTGCAATAAAATAAAGGGGTGACATTTACCAACTTTTAAAAGGTGCATGTCATACTAAATAAAGAAAAATCCCTACAATATGCTGATTACAAAACAAACAATGATATACTAGGAAAAACTCGTGGGACTAGAGAGAGATTACGAAGTCTTTGAGAGTCATCCATAAGGCTCTGAATGACTCTCGAAGGTTCTAACAACACGTAACCTACCATGAAAATGACTATGAGGATGAGGCAGATGCCAACGATGATGAGGAAGGGGATCAGGTAGTACTCCAGCGGCAGGCTGAACTCCGGAACTAGAATGACGTGGCCCCTGAAACCAAACAAATCAACGAATGACAAACCTTTCAGAGCTGCTGCATGGTAAAGTTCATTTAAAAAAAAAATACCCAGACATTTTGAAAAGACGTCTCAGCTATTTCAGTGCCGCCTCCTCAACGCGGGGTCTCCTGATGGGGGATCACCCAGCAGCTGTCCTGGGCTGCTGTTCCCACCGTCAGTGGACTTAGCTGCCAGACTGACTTGCCCACAGAGAAGGTCTGTGAGAAAAGTCCATGACTGCTTACTGTGCACATCCTGCACAAAAGTCCTTCACTGCACTGAGCAAATGAAGCCAGGGCCGGCCTATTGCAGAGGCAAGGTATGACGGGAGACAGCAGCTGGGCTAGCGCAAGATTCTGACAAGAATGGCCAAGGCTGGGGCTCCAGTGATAGCACAGCGGGGAGGATGTTTGCCTTGCACGTGGCCGACCCCGGTTCGATTCCCAGCATCCCATATGGTCTCCTGAGCACTGCCACGAGTAATTCCTGAGTGCATAAGCCAGGAATAACCCTTGGGCATCACCAGGTGTGACCCAAATAAAAAAAAAAAAATGGCCATGGCCACCAAATACTGCCAATGAATTCCCTCCTCCACACTCACTCTCTCCGCCTTCTCTGACCACAAAGAGTTCATTCTTACTGTGATTTCAAGGACGTCTACATAATTCCGTCCTAAGCTTTTAAAAACTGTTAAAACGTCAAGTTATTTTTAACATCCTTTCCTTACCCTTTTTCATATGAGAATTCATCTTTCAGTGAATTTGCTGAAGATTCGCCAATAAAAACAGACGGAATGTCGATTTTCTTCAGCACATCAACTGTATAAAACAACAACAAATTTTTCTTAAAATCTCCATACTTAGTGTACCAACAACTTACCCTTCCCCCATGACAGCAGCGGATACATCTGGACTCTCTCGGCAGTCAGCAGTCTGAACTGGTACTGACTGGTATTCCAACTGCAGGTTTATCAAGAACAGTTCAAAAGCCAAGATTCTCTCTGCATGCACTGCCACACTATCTCAGTTCTCAATGAGACAAAGAGATAACTCAGATTCTAACATCCCCATTTGGAGAAGCCTCAGTAAACATAATTATCTCTTAAAGAAAGAAAAAGAAAGAGGAAGAAAATTTTTCTAATTTGTTTTTCCTCACATAATTTTTAAATGACAAAGTAAAAAAAAAGCTTTCTTACATACCCATTCCTAGGAGTGGTGTGAGTCAAAGAATATGAGAAAAGACCAGTTTACAAAGGTCTGAAATGACCCACACACATAGCTGAGCTCCCCAGAGCAGAGAGGTCAGACTGAGCATAAGCAGCAGATAGGCAAGCCCGGTGAACTTCTACTTCCTCCTAAGCCTTGCAGTTCCTGGCAAAGCTTCGTGTCTGGATTGGTCTCAAGAAATCTGACTCTTACACCCACATGTAAAACCAAAACCAAGTGTTAAGAACAAAAAGAAAAAAAAAACCCACCTTGTAAAAATTACCTATTACTCATGAAGAAAAATAACAATTCTCTTAATGTTACTACAGTTAGAGAGAGAGACAGAGACAGAGACTCTATTCAGGGCCAAAATGATAGTACTGTAGTTACGGCACGTGCCTTGCACACAACCAACTCGGGCTTCAGTCCCCAGCATCCCATACAGTCCCCCAGGCACCGCCAGGAGTGACCCCTGAGCACAGAGCTGGGAGTTAGCCCTGACCACTGCCAGGGGTGGCCCAAAACAAACCCCCCCAATTTTTAGACTGACTTCAATAAACAATCTGACTTTAGAAAAAAATGACCATTTGTAAAAGGATGTTCAAAAAAGGGGAGGTGTGGGTGGGGGTGAACAGAAATCCACCACAAAGAAAGGTAGGATATTCAGAAACATTAAAGGAAGCTAAGACAAAATGCACAAAGCTTTAGAAAAAGTCTCTAAGTTACTACCGATGAGAAAGTAGCTATTATTATGCAAGGAGAAAGAAAGAAAGCAAGACCAGCCAGGATGCAGGATGAGATTTTAACACGTTCTGCCCTTGCAGAAATCCTGGGCTGGGCTGACATTCGTAAACCCAGAGGCTAAGAAGACGTTGGAGATTCACTATTGGAGACTGATCACAAGAATAAAGGCAACAACAAAAAAAAACAAAAAAGGAAAAAATACTTGTTTTCATATTCATGTATATATAAAAATTATATATGCAATTATATATATAATTCATCTAAGCAAAAAATGCTCATCATGCAAGAAAATAGAACACAACCAATATCCTTTCCACCAAAGACAAAGGTTTTATCTGAGATGATAAAGCATTTGCTAAATCACCACAAATATGTAAGATTTTATAACCAGTGCCAAATCCAGCTGTAGAGTATCTTACCCTCCCCAAATTCCTCATGGCCGTGCCCTTGAGCACAGCGGCCAGTGACGTGTTGTTCTTTAATCCTAATAAAGACAGAATCCAGACGTGTCCCTGGACAGATTACCTTTCCTTCTCTGGCAGACTGTCATGCTTTACGCAAATGCAATCATAATTATTCATTCTCAAGCATTCATTCTATCATGACACACATGACCCACAGACACACATGGTCAGAACAAAGCATCACAGAAAGTAACCCCAGCATTCAAGAACAAAACTTCTGAACAACGTTTGAAATGCACTAATAACGCAAGAGTATTTCCATGGCAAAAGCAGGGATATGCCAATACATGTGTACTTGCTACTTTCGATTATTTGCATTTTCATTAGGAGTCGAGATTCCAAACGGGCTTCTGTGCAGTACAAAGACGACCCAGGTTACCGAATCTTGACTCGAGGCCCCGGCGATAGGTCACAGCCCTGCGGGTACTCTGCATGCCTGTCAGAACCCAGTTCCTCAGCACTGCGGTCACAGCGAAGAGGGTCCCTGGTGCATCCCTGAGCAGAGCCCCCCAGATCAAAGCTCTTACAGAGAACAAGTCAAGAGAAGAGCTTGCAAATATGAATCAGTTTGTTCACGCCAGATACACCCCTTGAGAAGGACTTGGCGGGGGGGGGGGGGGGGACGGTCACTAAAACCTCAAGTTTACTGGAGTCAATCTGCAGCAACAAACACATACACACGAGCAAGAATTTGCTAGAACATGGGGCTGGAGCTAGCATAGCAGGTAGGGCGTTTGCCTTGCACGTGGCCGACCCAGGTTCGATTCCCAGCATCCCATATGGTCCCCCAAGCACAGCCAGGAGTGATTCCTGAGTGCAGAGCCAGGAATGACCACTGAGCATCGCCAGGTGTGACTTAAAAAGAAGAAAAAAAAAAAAGAATTTGCTAATTTGCTAGAATGTGTGCAGCAATTCAGGTACGGGACCAGAAAGCCAGCGCAGCAGGGAAGGTGCTGCCTTGGCCATGGCTGACCGGGCTTTGGTCCCTGTCACCACCTACAGTCCCCAGAGCCCTGCCAGGAGGAAGCCTGAGCACTCCCGGGTGTGGCTCCAAACACAAAACAAAAAATTCAAATGAAAACTGGAATTTCACTTCAGGATTTTTTTTTCAATTTGTCTAGTGTACACTTCTGTCTTACGGGAATGTACACAATCACAAATGTCACTGAACTGTGTGAAGCACGTGCGGTTACACACTGCTCTTAAAGGGGGGCGTGAAAGGAGAAGAACTCGGGTGCTGCCAGCCCGGGCATTGGAGAATGACCGTCTCCACTCTTCGGGTCGCGCAGAAGCATGACATGTCCAACCTTCTGGGAAAACACAACGCCCAAAGGGCACAGAATGCATTCAACAATGTTGGCGACTCACTCATCAAGAAGGAACAAAATAATACTTCAAAATCTAGAGAAATCAACTAAGGAGCTTCTTACTAAATTCCTTTCTTTAAACACTGTGGCTTTGTCTCAGACTTGTGTGGATATTAAGGAAAAGAGCCGGCCGGAATGTGGCTCATGGAAGGGCACCTGCCTTGTATGTGTGAAGTCCGTACATGCATGATATCTGTATGTATGACACCCGTACATACATGGTATTTGTATATGTGAGGCCCATATACATATATTTGTATGTGTGAAGCCTGTGTGCGTGTGTGTATGTGTGAAGCCCGTACACGCATGGTATTTGTATGTGTGAAGCCCGTACATACATGATATTTGTATGTGTGAAACCTGCACATACGTGATCTGCAGCATAGGGCAGGGAGAGAAAAGAATTCTATTCAAAGAAAAAAGGCACTATCCTTTTCTTCTTGGTCAAAACTCCAAAGCATGTCCCACTGACAAAGTGTCATTTACAGGTTCTACTATCTCCTGAGGTGGTGACTCCGTCCCTAGCTTGAGGTCTGCAGTTTGCTCCCAAGTTCTCCTCAGATGTATCACTCAGTGGACCCCAGCTGCAAGAGCATGAAGGTTATTCGCTAAAAGAAAAACAACTGCTTAATCAAGAACACTGCTGCTGGGCTGGGCTGGGCTGGGCTGAGCTCCCACCCAGGTGGCCCCGGGGTTTCTCTCAGCAGGCAGCCATGATGGACTCTGTTAGCACCTGGAAAAGGAACGCTTAAAGTCTCAGGGCTCAGTCAGGGAGACGGCTCAGTGGCAAAGTGCTTGTCTTGCCCGTGTGAGGGCCTGGGTTCGACTCCCAGCATCACACGGTCCTCCACAGCCCTGCGCAGTCTAACGAGGCCTCAGGCCCCCAAACCAGAAGTCGAAAGTGAACCCTAGTGATATACCTGATAACCCTTCAGTATCCATTCTGCAAACCTTAAGGCCCAAAAGGAAAGGGAGAAGGGGAGGGCAGAGAGGGGAAAGGGGCAGAAGAGGGGGAGAGTGGGAGAATGAGAGAGGTAGAAGGAGAGAGAGAGAGAGAGAGAGAGAGAGAGAGAGAGAGAGAGAGAGAGAGAGAGAGAGGTACCTGCCATAGAGACAGGCTGGGAGGCGGGAGGGAAGCTGGAGACACTAATGGAACATTATATGACTGAAACTCAATCATGAACAGCTTGTAATGATGTAGCTCACTGTGATTCAATTAAGAAAATTAAAGAAAAAAAAAAGTCCTAGTGTCCTGAGGATGGAAAAATGGCACCAAGTGACTGCATGTAGCCGGAAAGTCCCTCTCCGATGAGAGCCATTATCCCATGAACTGGACTTCTCATTAAAAGCCTCTCCGTGCCTACTACATGGCCGAGGCAGGAGGCGTGGGTCTGAATGAAATGCTCGCAGCTGGCCACTCTGGTAGGGGCTCGCAGCCCACGGCGGTCTCGTGGCTCTCAGTTCAGAGGATCAGGGCAACTGCATGTGCAGTGGCCTTCAGCCACAGGTCACATGGGTACAGAAAGGTTAAAAACCCCCAATCTGGTATGGTGCTGCCAGCAGGTCAATCTGTACCTGTGAGGCAAGTGCATCAGCAGCCTGATGGCACCTTCAGACTTCCAGATACCCCAAAATTGCTGCTGTGCCTTTGGCCAGACCCCAAAAACTTGGGGCAAAGTTTACCAAGAAAGTAAACGGCTAAAAGTTAGTTATGTGGGAGACACACCCACAAACCACCTCTGGCTCAGCTATATAATTGGAGGCATGGCCTCTCTGGTTCCTGATCGAACTGCTTAATGGCCATGATCCCAGAGACTCAGAACAAATCTCAAAAAACCAACGGCTTTTAGCAGAACTGCATCCAGTCCCTGCAGTAGGTTACAGGTGCCAGGCCACTCCAGGTGGGAATAGGTTTCGTGCCTTGGCCTATTCCCCCTGGCGGCCCGGTGGCCATCATCCTCCAGAGGCCACTGGACAGTCAGGTTTGGGCCCACAGTGATGAGACACGTGGGGCCTCAAAGGATGGGGATGGAGCCGGCCCTTTCCTTCCCGTCCCAACGAGACCCTGAGTTGCCGCCCACAAACGGCCTCTCTGGCTCCTGATCAAGCTGCTTAACAGTCATGATCCTAGAGACTCAGAAACAAATCTCTAAACCCAGAGGCTTTTGGCAGAAATGCGCCCGGACCACGCACTAGGTTACTGTCACCAGGCCTCCCCAGGGGGAAAGGGTGCTGTCCCTCCACCTACTTCCCTAGGGGACTCAATGGCCGCCATCTTCCAGAGGCCATTGGACAGTCAGGTTTGGGCCCGTGGTGACAAGAAACGTGGGGCCTCACAGGATGGGGGTGGAGCCAGCCCTTTCCTCCCTGTCCCAACAAGACCCCGAGTCACTACCCGTGAACGACCTTTCTGGATCCTGATCAAGATGCTTAACAGCCATGATCCAAGAGACTCAGGAACAAATCCCGGAACCCAGCAGATTTTGGCAAGAAATCCCTCCAGATTTAATTGTTAAAATTTCAGAATTTCAGCCAGGTATGAGCCGGCGGTGATGGGGCAACTGCAGTCTCATGGGAAGGGGGGCGGTACCGGTTCATCCATCATGCCCTACCAAGGTCACAAGTTGCCCCCTATGACCGGCTCTCCAGCATGGCCATAGCTCCAGAGGCAAAAGGACTTAGTCCAGAGCCCGACAGCTTGCGGCAGAAGAGTGAATGGACCATGCATTAAACGACAGTGCCATGCCTCCCTGGGAGGGAAAGGGTGTTGCTCCCTTCTACCTTTTTCCACCCAGCAGCAAGGTAGCCACCGCCTCGAGCTTATTGGAAAGCCAGGTATGAGCCAGCGGTGAGGGGGCAACTGCAGTCTCATGGGAAGGGGGACGGTATCGGCTCGTCCTTCACGTCTTGCCGAGGTCACGAGTTACCCTCCACGAGTGGCTCTCCGGCATAGCCATAACACCAGATGGACAGAAACCAATCTCGTAATAATCTGGCTCTTTGCAGAAATCCAAAATCATATGACATTATATGATTCTCATACCAGCTATAGAAAACAAAGTATTTCACAATGCCTTTTCAGCAATTCTGATTGTTGGGGGGGTGGGGAATTCTAAACAATAATGATGCATCTTTTGTCGAAATAAAGAATGTAATCAATGTAGAGAAGACTTAAGTGGAAATCATCTGCCTTACAGGCATTGGGAGGGGTGGGAGGGGGGTATATTGGGGTTCTTGGTGGTGAAAAATGAGTACTGGTGAAGGGAAAGGTGTTTGATCATTGTATGACCAAGACTTAAACCTGAAAGCTTTGTAACTTTTCCCATAGTGATTCAATAAATAAATATAAGAAGAAAAATAAATAAAATTATGAAATGAAAAAATAAAACACTAAAAAAAAATTTCAGAATTTCAAAATCACGTGGCCACTACTGCAGCCATGTGACATCATATGTTATTCATAACCAGCAACAGAAAATAAATTGTCTACTGTTGCCTCTTTGGCAGATCTGAGTGTTGGGGTAAAATCCCAAATAATAATGGTGGGTCTGGTGTCAAAATACTGAATGTCATCAAACTAGAGAGAAAGTAATTTGGAAATCATCTGCCCCACAGGTAGGGGGAGAGTGTGGGATGGGGGCATACTGGGGTTGTTGGGGGTGGAGAATGGGCACTGGTGAAGGTACGGGTGTTTCATTGTATGACCAAGACTTAGACACGAAAGCTTTGTAACTGCTCTCACGGTGATTCAATAAATAAAATTATAAAAAATGGAAAAAGAAAAAAAAAGTAAGGTGGAATTCATGCACAGTTCAATCAGCCTAATCAGTGGCTGAATAGCAGTACTCCTACATTTAAAAAAAACAAAAATCAAACCCGATCTACAGGCTGGGTGGTCACGCCAGGGGCTGTTGCAGATGTGAGACTCAAAGAATGCTGACTTGGGGCTTGAGCGATAGCACAGCGGGAAGGGCATTTGCCTTATGCATGGCTGACCTGGGTTCGATTCCCAGCATCCCATATGGCCCCCGAGCACTGCCAGGAGTAATTCCGGTGCATCACCGGGTGTGACCCAAAAAGCAAAAAAAAAAAAAAAAAAAAGAGTTATTCTTAAACAAAAAAAAAAGGAATGCTGACTTAATGTATCTACAAAGCCAAAAATGAAATGTCATGAATCTCCTATGGGAATAGGTTTCATGCCTTGGCCTGCTCCTCCTTGGCGGTTCGGTGGCTGCCATCCTCCAGAGGCCATGGGACCGTCAGATTTGGATCCTCGGTGACAAGATATGCCGGGCCTCACGGGATGGGGCTGGAGCCGGCCCTTTCCTCTTTGTCCCAGCGAGACCCTGAGTCGCCGCCCACGAATGGCCTGTCTGGCTCCTGATCTCCACCCCCCCTCACTCACACTCACACACACACACACACACACACCACACACGCCCACACACATACACCACACACTCACACTCACACTCACACACAGTGTTACTCTCCAGCAGCCTGATTTAATGCTTCTCGATTTAAAGCGGATTGTTCCTTTGTTTTTGGATCCGATGACACCACACCCCCTTGCCATTAATCCCACTTCTGCAACTGGGGAGTGGGGAGGACTGGAAAACGCTGTAGCAGAGGCAGACATGCTGCTTCTCGGACGGCAGCTGCGGGCAGAGCGGCTGGGCGCTAGGGTCGGTGCCGGTGCCCTGTCAAACAGGAGAGAAGAGAAGTGATACCTGTACTTACTGTCGTTGGATCCCATGCTAATGAGGTCGTCCGAGTCCACATTGTGGACGATGGCGGCTCGGTAGCCGGCCCGCTGGGCGTTCAGGACCTGCAAGGCAGACAGAGCCCAGGTGAGCAGCAGCGCACTGCGAAGGCTCGGCACGTCGGCCCGCACTCGGGGCTGCCCTGTGTGTACCCGTGTGCGCTCGAAAGGGGGCATGTTTGGGGTTTTTTTTCTTTGGGAGGGGTGCCACACCTGGCGATGCTCAAGGGTTACTGCTGGCACTGAAATTCTGTGCACTCTGAGGCTGGAGCAATAGCACAGCGGGTAGGGCGCTTGCCGAGCACACGGCCAACCGGGGTTCGGTCCTCAGCCTCAGCCTCCCTGAGCACCGCCCTGAGCACAGAGACTGAACATCACTGGGTGTGACCCAAAAAGGAAAAAAAAAAAATCTGTGCCCAAGGGTTCCTCCTGGCTCTACACTCAGGAATTCCTCCTGGTGGTGCTTGGGGGACCACATGGGACGCCAGGGATTGAAGCTGGGTTGGTTATATGTAAGACAAACGCTTTCCCCACTCTACTATCTCTCTGGCCCAAGAGGGAGAGTTTTAAAATCTGTTATAAAGGACTTCTTGATTTCACTCATGGAAGTAAGAGCAGCAAGCAGAGAATGAGACACAAGCAAACTCCCAAAAGCGTGGAAAGCAATGCCCCTCTCTGCTCTTGAGAGGAACCAAACCCACCTCTACTCTCACTCGGGGGATCGACTCAGGCAAGTGATTTTCCTCCTGAATCCTCAGTTTCCCCAACTCTAAAATGATTCCCATTTTAGACAAATTGGGGGCTCACACATAAATATTTATCTCACCGTCTTTTACACTCCCGGGACCACAGAGATAGGGCAGGGCTTAAGGTACTTGCCCTGAGCTGGCCCCAGCTCAATCCCCAGCACCACGCAGGACTCCCAGCACCAGAGGGATTTAAGACCCCTTTCTAACGCATCAGAACAGCTGACAGCTGCCCCAGTTTGAACTTGATTCAAGTTTCTATTTGTTTACTGGTTTGTTCATGGGTTTCTGGGCCACACTCAGTGGTGCTCAGGGCTTACTCCTGAGTAATCTCAGGGGATTACTGAGATTACTGGTGGGCTCAGGGCACCCGATTGGGTGGTAGGGATTGAACCCAGGTCGGCTGCATGCAAGGCAAGCGCCCTACTTGCTGCAGCCGCTACCTATTAAATAGTCCCTAACATTACGTCCAAAACAGTAACCTTTGGATATGTGGCAGAATTTTTTTATACAAAAAAGTTTTCTGAATAAATACCAATACTCCTACACAGCACTGTCCTCCCGTTGTTCATCAATTTGCTTGAGCACACACCAGTAATGTCTCACAACAAATTATGAGAATTCCTGTTTCTGTGTTTGGCATACTGAGCTTGCCAGGCATTGCCATGCAGGCGAGATACTCTCGGTAGCTTGCCGGGCTCTCCAAGAGGGGCGGAGGAATCGAACCTGGGTTGGCAGCATGCAAGGCAAACGCCCTACCAGCTGGGCTATCACTCCAGCCCACTCCTACATTAAAAAAAAAATGTTTTAAGAATGTTCAAACATGTTATCACACCTACTTCAAAAGTAACCGTTGGGGGATGGAGCAATAGCACAGCGGGTAGGGGGCTTGTCTTGCACACTGCTGACCCGGGTTTGATCCCCAGCATCCCATGTAGTTCCCTGAGCATGGCCAGGGTTAATTTCTGAGTGCAGGGCCAGGAGGAGCCCTGTGCATTGCTGGGTGTGACCCAAAAAGTGAAGGAAAAAAAAGTAACTCTTGGTACATGTTTGTTTTCTCCAGCTGTAAAGTGGGGTCTGGCGTGCTCCCGTCGCCCCCAGAGGTGTGCAGGGACCAGGCAGTGCTGGGAACCAAACCAGGGAATCACGGGGGAGGCCAGACCCCCGGCCCCAGCAATCTACTTTTAAAATATAAACCCACCAAAAAATAAAATAAAATAAACTCACATCTCAGCTGCTTATAACAATGTCAGGCAACTGATAAGAACTGAGGATGGGATCACTCGTGGCATATTAGTTAAAGTGAAAACCATGGCGGGGAACATTTACATGCACGCACACAAAATGTCAATTTGGAATACTTCCTCTGCTTGAAACGATTTCATTTTTTAATATTTAACATGGGGCTGGAGCGACAGCACAGCAGTAGGGCGTTTGCCTTACAAGTGGCCAACATAGCCGACCCGAGTTCGATTCCTCTGCCCCTCTCAGAGAGCCCGGCAAGCTACCAAAAGTATCTCGCCCGCACGGCAGAGCCTGGCAAGCTCCCCGTGACATATTCGATATGCCAAACACAATAACAAGTCTCACGATGGAGACGTTACTGGACCCGCTCGAGCAAATCGATGAACAACGGGAGGACCGTGACCAATATTTAACATGGCAAGAAACTCTTGAAATCTGTCCCCTTCTAAACACTGCATAACCCTTAAGTTTTAATATTCACACTTCTAAACACCAGGGAATTACATTTTCAAATAATTAAAAAAAATCATCTCCTCAAGGTGCAACATTAATCTCTTAGTTATCGACATCAAAACAAATTGAGTCTTTGCTCCAATGAAATAGAAATGAAAGCAGAGGCAATCCCAAAAGGGGAAGGCGAAGGCCCCCGAGTTGGGTCTCTGAGAGTGATGTCGCAGCGATCTAACAGAACAGCGTGAAAGGGATGTTGCAGCCTTCTGACAGAAGAGCCATCAGAGCTGCAGGTGATGGCAATGAGGCCCGTTACTCACACCAGAGAAGCCAAAAATGTGCCTGAGTCGGAGTGATTCCTATTGTCCCTGGAAAGCCGGAACCTGGAGGAGATGCGAGCCCCAGGCAACGAGAGAGAGACCCCCACCCCGCCTCACTCCCACCCACAGCCGAGGACCTAGAGCGTGGGACTCTGTGAGCCCCCGCGACCCAGCACACAGGCACAGCTGGACAGCGAAGGAGGAGGTGGAAAGGGGGTGGGGGGAGATCACAGCAAAAACAAACCCAAAAAGCTGCTCTCCGCGAACCACAGAACGGAGAATGCTGAAAATTCAAAACAACCAGACAAGAAGGAAATTTTGTGAGCACCATTTTTCACAAAAGCACTGAAGAGTGCTTACAAAAACTGCAAGTGTGACGTTGCCCAGAAGGACCAAACAAAACATGTTTTGGAGAACTTAACAAGGCTTTCCCAAGGTTTTCGATGTTTTTATTGATTTCTGAAAAAAATGCATCGAAATCTAGCAACACATTCGCATATGGACCGTCGACCGGCAGATGAATACAAACAAGAAAACCCATCCGTGTCTGTGAACTGGGAAACTCCTGTCAGTCGAACTCAATTACATTTTTAACGAAGCAACAGCTGTTCTTTGAAGAACATGCGGCAGACACGAGAGCATTGAGTAATCGCTAAGTGAGCGTGCTTGGGCTCTCCCGTTCATAAAACGTCACCCCAGCCACCCGGCATGGGGCACAAGCAGGGATGCGGGGAGGGAAGATGCCCACAAGGGCATCTGTATGGAGAGGCCTCAGGAAGGACTGCCGGCGGCAACTGGCGGGCGCTCACAGCGATTCTCTCACATAGGAAACACCCCAATATTTTGCATTTTGTAACGTTAGCGGCAACTAAGGTGGCTGTCGAAGCAGGTGGCAGCTAACCGAGAGCTCGAAAGGAATCCAGCACAGCTGGTTTGTGATCATAAACGCCGGCCAAGAGCGGGTCCAAGCTGCAGGCAGATAGGCGTGAAGAGGCGCTGGGCCTGATGCAGTTCATCTTAGCTCAGAAGAAATCAACGGGCAATGCTGACACTAACAAAACAGATGTGACAGGATGAGGGCCCTGAACTCAGAGATCTGTGAAGGAACGCAGAGGCAGGAGGGATGGAGCGACAAGGCCAACACCAAAGGACACACAGGTCAAAGACATCTCTCGTGTGCTGACACTTCCCATGTATTTTCTCAAAATGACAAAATCCAAAGCTAGAGACAGACTCCTGAAGGCAGCAGGGAACAAGCCACAAGGCGTGCAGCAGATCTGTCAAATGAGACCAGGCGAGCCGCAAGAATATGGAAGGGGATAGTACCAAAACACAAGTCAACGAGCACCGCACCAGGGGTACTCTGTCCAGCTAGATTCTCACTCAGGTCTGAAGGATCTACACAGAGCTTCATGGACAGGCAACAGGAGCCTTGAATCCAGAGAGAATCCGGAGCCTTGAAAGCAGTTTTGCATGAAGCGTTAAAAGAGCTCCTTGGAAGGACAGGAGAAACTTCCCTCCAAGTGGCACTGAGTATGGCTCTTACTGATCAAGCATAAGGTTGTCCTCTACTAGATTAAGAAAGGTTAAAAACACATCGCAATTAATCATCACAAATTGTCTTTTACTGATTAATTTTCCAATAATTGCCATTCCTTTGGGCTGGCGTGATAGCACAGTGGTTAGGCCTTGCAGGAGGCCGGCCCAGCCCACCCGGGTTCAATTCCTCCGCCCCTCTTGGAGAGCCCTGCAAGCTACCAAGAATATCTCACCCTCACAGCAAAGCCTGGCAAGCTACCCATGACGTGTTCAATACGCCAAACACAGTAACAACAAGTCTCACAATGGAGACATTAATGGGCCCGATTGAGCAAATCGATGAACTTTGGGAGGACAGTGCTACAGTGGGATTCCTTTAAGTTTAACTGAACCAAGTACTATGAAATAAATTTGTTATCTGCCTGCCCAAGAGCACAGGCTAGGAGAGTGGGAGGGAGCCTCAAGATATTGGAGGATGGAAAGGGACACTGGTGATGGGATTGGCACAGCATAGGCCTGAAACAACTCTATTTTAACAACTTTGTAACTCATGGTGTCTCGATAAACATTCCTGGAAAAAAGAAAAAAAAAAGAAAGCATGGAATTCCCCAGTGCATCAGAATAAAGATCCAGAAGAACCTTTAACGCCACACCAAAGTTTAGGAAGAGGAACTGAACGAAGAGAGCCTTGAGACTCACAGGATGCCAATCTTAAAACATTTGCAAACAAAACAAAACCTCAAACAAATACATCCAAGCCAAGAAG